TAACGTAGGCAACCGGTTCAAAGAGATCCATGTGGGTGAGGTACATCTACTTGCTTTCTGGCTTGGCATGCTTTACATATCCTATCTTTCTCAAATTGAATATTCGTTAGTCCAAGGATGTGTTCCTCCTTTAGAAGTTTGGCCAAGTTTCTCATCCCAACATGAGCTAGTCGGGGATGCCATAACCAACACATGCTAGATTTTGCCACTAAACAAGTCTCAAGTGTTGCTTTACTTTTATTGAAATCAACTAGATAAAGCTTGCCCTTCAAGCGACCCGTAAAAGTAATAGAGGAATCCTCCCTTCTAATGGTGGTCACACCCTTATTCGTAAAGTGACAATCATAGCCCATCTCACATAATTGTGATATAGACAATAAATTATAACTTAGCGAGTCAACATATAAAACATTTGAAATTGAATGATCTTGAGTTATAGAGATTTTACCGACACCAAGAACTTCTCCTTTTGAATTATCCCAAAATATCGTGTTTTCACTTGGACCTTCCATTTGGGCATAAGATGAGAACACACTCTTCTCTCCGGTCATATGATTTGTACATCCACTATTAAGCACCCAACTTGATCCACCGGATGAGTATGCCTGCAAAACAAGTTTAGTTCCTTCTTTTAGATCTCCAATTAGCATTGGGGCCTGGAGTGTTAGCCACTAGAATCTTCGGAAACCATAGAGATCTTTTCACATATATGTTGGGCTCATTTCCAACATACGTGGCAACAACTTTACCAAGGTTGTTGTGTCTCAACACATAGCTAGAGGACATGCTCTCATGGGGTGCATGGGCCTTAGGCTTGTAAGCATACTTGTTCCTCTTTGATATGATTGGGTTCCCCTTGACCTGCAGATGAGTGTAAGATGCTTTTGGAGCTTGTTGTCTTGGTTGAGATGGTGTCTTGGTTCTGTTGGTGCCACTGTTTTGCTAGACCCTAGAACCTCCACGTTTTGGCACGGAGCCTCCAAGGCACGGAGCCTCCGCGTTTCTGCGTGGAGCCTCCACGGTCTACACTGGCTACACCTCTCTAATTGTCTCCTTCTTCTCAAACCTGATACAAGACACTCTATTCACCATCTTCCTTTCACCGGCCTTGCCACCCTTCTTGTGACCGAGACCATCCTTGATAAAAGGATGTCTTCCTTGAATGAATTTGGACTTCTTGCTTGCATCATCCATGCACCCACTAGCTATGATATTGTTGAGTCTTGCAATTTCCTTCTTCATAGCTTTCATATTAGTAAGGTTAGTAGCACAAGCTTCTAAAACAATATTGTAGCATCTATCACAACCCTTGCTAGTAGATGCATTAGAGATCTCACTTGCCTTCATAGGATGTAAGGTTTTATCCCAAAGGATGCTAAATTGCTCTTCAAGTTCCTCATTTATTATCTTAAGGGCATTGTTCTTTTCTTGAAGAGTATTTAGGTCATCCTTTAGGGTAGCTATGACACTTTCTGCTTGATCAACTTCCAAACATAAAGTTTCAACCTTACTTCTTTCTGATGCAAGAGCTTTCTTGCAAGTAACATAGAGTTTCTCTTGTTTGGCAAGAGTAGCTTGAGTTCTCTCTAATTCATCTACCACCTTGGCTATGAAGTTCTTAGATTTTTTATCTATTTTACTTACCAAGTTGTTTACTTCATCATCACTAGATTCATCACTAGAGTCTATGTCGGATTCATCACTAGATGGAGGAGAGGGCTTAGGCTTGGATTTTGGTTTTACCTTTTCTCCTTTGCCCATGAGACAAAAGAGTGTAGATCTCTCCTCATCATCGGTCAAGTTGGTGAAGAGCTTTGGCGAAGAAGAATGCTTCTTGATAGCAATTGTTGCAATTTTCTTTGTTTCTTCTTCACTTGATCTATCACCATTTGAATCCCATTCATGACCAATGTGAGCTTTACCTGAATAGTTCTTCTTCTTGTGTTGGATCTTGTCATCTTTCTTGTAGTGCTTCTTCTTCTTGTCTTTTTTGTCCTCTTTGTTCTCATAAGGACAATCGGCAATGAAATGCTCCGTGCTTCCACAATTATAACATTTCCTCTTTTGCTTGTTGGGAAATCTTCTCTTCACAAACTTGTACCCTTCTCTTTTCAACCCCTTCTTGTACTTCCTCATGAATAAAGCAACATCACCAATCTCACCGGAAGACACTTCATCATCACTTGAGTCACTTGATGAATCAACCGTCTTAACCTTGCTTGATCTTGATCTTGGCGGCTTGCTTGAAGTGAAGGCCTTGTTTGATTTGTTTGCCTTGAGAGCTACCTCCTTGACCTTTAAGTTCTCCATCTTTGCTTCTAGATCTCCAAACTTCTTCCTTTGTTGTATCTCCATCTCTATGAGCTCATGAGTGAGTATTCTTACATGGACATAGCTAGGGGTGAACTCTTCAAACCTCTTCTTCTCTCTAATCAATGTCACAAGAGTTGGGTTTCTTGGTGCAAATGCTTCTAACATCACTTTTACAACATGATGATCATTCAAGTCAGCCCCACCCAAGCCTCTAATCTTGCCAACTATCACCATCAATCTATCAAACATCTCTTGAGGGCCTTCTCCATCCTTGATGACAAACCTATTGAGTTGAGCCATCAATAGATCAATCTTGGACTTCTTTACCTTACTAACCCCTTCATGTGCAAGGTGAAGAGTGTCACAAATCTCCTTAGCAATCTCCAAACCAATCACTTTGTTGTACTCTTCTGGGCTTAATGCACTTAGAAGAGCACTAGTAGCTTGAGCATTGCGATGTATCATGCGAATCTCTCTTGGTGTGGGATTTTTGGGATCAAAGGGATCTTCAAAACCTACACACATAATATTCCACATCTCCGAATAAAGTCCAATAAGATAAGCATTTATCATATGCTTCCACTTGGCAAAGTTAGTCCCATCAAATTAGGATAACTTGCCTGCGGGTATGTTGATGTGAGTGTTGGTAGGCAAATTTATGGGAATCATAATTAAAGGATACACTCGAATATGATCTCTTGGTGTTAGACTTGAGTGTTCTCTTTGGTAGCCTTTGAGCATAGTACTCATCATCATCATCTCCATTCTCTGACTCGCTGCTTGGTTGTGGGCTTGATTGCACCTTTCTTTTTGCTTTGTGTTTCTTCTTCTCCTTGTTCTTGTTCTTGTCCCTTTGCTTGTCTCCCTTGGAGGATCCCTTAGCACCAAGCTTGAGCTTTGAAAGTCGCTCAAGCGCTGCTATGGGATCATCCTCAGGAGCTTCGGGTTCCTCTTCGCTAGGAACATCCTCAAAGTGGTCATCTCCATCTTCCTCCGGTACCCTTTCTCTAGGACTTGCCATTTCCTCACGATTAAGTGCTATTACGTGGAAACCTGCTCCGATACCAATTGAAAGGATCTGGCAAGTGGCCTAGAGGGGGGGTGAATAGGCTTTTTTCTAAAATTTAATCAACTTTACGAAACCAGTCAGAACACGGAACCTCCGAGCCTGAGCGTGGAGGTTCCGGGGCTAAGCATGGAACCTCCGGAATCAGAGTAAGAAATCGATGTACTACAAAATTTAACGAATAAAAAATAGATCGAATGAAATACCAGCCTTCCTGGGTAGTGTGTTGAGCTATCAAACAGTCAGTTGCACCTAGAGGATGAGGGATTCATAGATCGGATACAAACCCTAAAAATCAATTTAAATCACAAGTAATAGCAGCAGCAACAACAATCACAGAGGACACGAGGATTTATCCCATGGTTCAACTCGCCACAAAGGCTTGTCTATGTACACGTTGTTGAGGTTAGCCACATAGGCTATGGAGTCTCTTTCAACTCTCTCCTCTTCTCCAACCTATCACCAAGGCAATAGGTTGGAGGGTTCCACTAAGTCACAAAGGGTAATACAAACTTCCCGGTGCTTAGCCACAAAGGATTGGAAGCTCCCGGGCGACCGCTAGCTGTCTAGGAGCCAACCTCCAAGAGTAACGAACACACCAAGCGGCTAGGGCTTCACCAGGTGCATAAGAACGGAGGAGAAGGATCTTCTCGAGCTTTCTCACACTCTCTAGAGCCAAATCCCTCAAGGAATCACGGAGATCTTGAGCAAGGGAGTTGGGAGGCACTGAGCTTGAGAGAGGGAGAGCTTCTGTTCGAAATGAACGAGTCAGGGAATGAGATGACCGTTGGGGGCGAAGGAGTGAGTATAAATACCCCCACCATCACCCACAAAAATGGTCGGGGCAGACAAACCCCGGAGACTCTGTGTCGGGACGCGGAGGTTCCGCGTAGGCCAGAGCAGATAAGAATTTAACTCGGCTGCCTTTTTTTTATGTAGCTAGAATTATTTGAGATGTTGATGGAGTTTTGAGCACTTGGTTCCACCTAGCACACCATTAGTATTCCATTTGATAGTACGGCTTGCCCTATAACTCAATTTCAAAATATAAAATAAAATAAACTAGCTCCTAAAGCCGTTGCAAGCCATCCATTCGAGTTGGGGGTCTCCTCCTTTGTTTCTTTGCGCCCATGATTCAAGATATGTTGTTAAACACTTGTCAAAGCCATTAGCCCTTTAATTATGTGGTCAACATCACCACAACCCACTTAGAGTTTGATTACACTTACAGATATTAATATATTTACCTATATATTTATCAAACTTTAATTACTTTAACAAAGAATATATAGAATTGATTTTTTGATAATATGTATCTGTATTTCTAATTAAGGAAAACATACATGGATGCATGCAAATACAGACACGTACGTATAGGATACAGAGACAACTGTCCCAACCAATCTTTACGAAGAACCCTAAACAAGAAAACAACTACATCGATGCCCCTGGATCCTTCGCGAACCATCTGTGATCGACCACCCCGCTATCAACTGCCGCCGTCGAAGAAGAAGCCGAACACCACCATGAGCTGGAAAAGTTCCATCGCACGCTGGCTTTGAAAGGAGTCGAAGTAGACACACGTCATGGGAAACGGGATGAAGCCGTCGGCGATCACCCATCAATCGGGGCCGCGCCCTAACTTCTCCAGCTCCAAGATTTGAGCACGCCACCGACGACTGCCGCTGCCGAGCGAGGATTGAGCTAGATCTGGCCGGCCAGCAACCACAACACCCACATATAACTCCGCATCCTTGCAAAAGAAGGCTAACAGCAACATCACCTGATAAAGACGATGAAGCACCAGCCCCGGACTCCTGTACAGAACTCCCCAACCTCGCCATAGGCGCTAGAGAAGAACGCCGCCGGGATAAAGGAGATGTGGGGAGAAGTTATTCTCCAGCGTCGTCGACTCCTCCGTCTCGCCGACGCCGCCCGGAAAAGCACGCCGCAGAAGAACACGCCCCCGGCGAACCCTAGTCCGCCATCAGTTGATGACAAGCCAACCCTAAACCTAGGTAGACTTCCACCTACTCTATATACATCCGCACGGCGATTCCCGGCCCATTTCCCTCTCCGCCGCCTCTCCGGCCACCGAAGAGGAAAGAGGCCGGCGAAATCGCCGGTGAAATCACCGTCGAAAACACGCGTCGCCTCCTTTTCGCCCTGGACAACTGTAGCCCGGGGAAAAGGAAGAGAAGACCCCGCCCGGGTATAGAATTGATTTTTTGACTGAGGTATAAAAAACCCGTCGATGAGTAACGTAGTAAGAAAATTCAAAGGTGCCCTTCGTACCACCATAAACGCAGGAGGTGGCAGGCAGGATAGACGTGAGACGATGAAACCGGATGTGCCCTGCCCTGCCACCAATGAACTCTTTCCTTCTTTCTCTGTCCTCACCGTGCCCGCTGCTGAGCAGAGCTGACTTTTGCTCCGCCTGCCTGAACTTGCCTTGCCCCCAGCCTCATATTTCTCCTTCTCCCCCCTCCGCCTTCCTGTAGCTGTAGCTGTAGCTTTCACCCCACTCCCATAGTCCCTCCACGGCACCGCGCCTCCCTCCCTCCCTCCCCCTAATCTCCTCCGCTCCATCCCGAATTGGGCCAATAGCCTGCTTCCAGTTGCGGCGTCGGTCAGGGAAGAGGCCTCGCTCGCGTCCCGGCCCGCAGATCGGGGGAGGAGCTCCCTGCCCCCCCTCGCCGGCTCGGCCGCTTCCCCGCCGCCGGTCTCTCTCCCGCGGAGGCGCCAGCGTCGCCGATGAGCTGCTTCGTCTGCTTCGGGTCGGCGGCGCAGGACGGGGAGGCCAGGAAGCCCCCCGCCGCGGTCGCCGGCAAGGACGCCCCGCCGGATCGCGCGGTGGCACGCGTCGGATCAGGTGCGGTACGGCGGCTGGAGCTGGACCTGGATCTCGGACCCGCCCCTCCCTCGCTTCGCTCTGCTCTTTCGGCTAGTCTAGGCTTGCTCCCTGTCGCTTGCTAGGCTACGCACGTGCGCGTACGGAGTACCACGAGCTCCGTGGGTAGAATCAGCTGCGATCGTTCCGGTGAACCACTAGTGGCGGCTGTGGATCGGCGGAACCCTGCCTTGTGCTTCGTTTGTTGGTCGGGGAAACCACGGGAACCGGTGCTGGTGTTGTTGGCCTCTCATTTCCTTTGTGCCTCCTGCATTTAACTCTACCTTCAGCGTTACTGCGTTACCAGTGCGCGCCCGTGGAGAGTGTGAAACCGCGTTGGGCTGGCTGGATACAGACATACGGTGTCCGAAGTAGTAGGAGTATTTGTTTTCTGCGTGGGATATGGGTGCGACGAATCTCAGTACCTATTCTTCAATCAGCCTGTTCGGGAGGCCGTATCGTATCGTATCGTGGATTATTTACTGCTGGCTGGTTTGGTGTGAGAGAAAAACACTGTTCTCGGCTGGAAATTTACGATCGTTTACGAGCAAGCGAACAGGCTGATGGTGGCCTGGTACAAAGTCATGGATACGTTGCTGCAGCCCTTGGAATTTGTTAATAGTCGATAGGATTTAGGTATTCTGCTGTTTAGACTATTGGGATGTGCTTGGACTCTACACAAGAGTATTTTTCCCCCCACCTAGGCAGCTCCCTCCCTAGCTGTGTGTGTGCTGTGCAAATTCTATGGAGTGATTTGGTGGTTTCATATTGAGAAATGCTGGATGGGTTATGGTGGTGGCCTTCTGCAGTGTAGGTAAAAGATCAGGGATGGGGGTGTATTGTATAATAGCTATATAGGTTGTACTTGCTCCTCCTTGACATTTGATCCTTGTGATCTTGATGTCAAGCTTAGCTATTGATTCATGAACTGAACTTTCTTTTCTTGGGCCGACGCCATAGCTTCTTACACAACATTTTTGCTGCTGTGGGGGAGAGAAACATACTAGGATAAAACACCTATTTTTATGAATCTATTTATACAACCAAATGTATCCTTCAAAGTGCAATGGACCATCTAGAATCATAGGGGATGTGTTTGGACCCTACACCAAAGTTTTTTTTCCCCACCTAGACAGCTCTCAATGTGTGTGATGTGCAATTTGTCTGCAGTGATTTGGTGGTTTTATATTGTAAAATGTTGGATGGGTTATGGTGTCCTTCAGCACTGTACAAAAGAGATCAGTGATGGGGGTTTTATAGTCCTTGCTTGCCCATTACATCCTTGTGATGATGCCTCGACTGAACTTTCTTGGGCTGGCTGCGTAGCTTCTTATACGGTTTTATTGTTTTTTTTTTAAAGTCATACACGGTTTTATTGTTGCTGCAGGGATGAGGAACATACTAGGATAAAACAACTGCTATTATGAGTCTATTTACAAGTAAATGTATCCTTAAAAGTTAAAAGTGAAATGCACCATCTAAAGTTGCAGGGGATATTATATTCGTATTTTGCCTTTGTTCCACGCAAGGTTATTACTTAAGCGCTGAAGCGGTTAGGGGTCACTATAGAGGCAAAGCATCGCCCTGTCACCTTATGCGCATGCCGCCGCCCACTCGATTGTGCCATCTCCCACTCGATGCTGCTCCTATCCCACTCGATTCTGCCTTCTCCTGCTCAATTCCGCTGCTGCTTGCTTGATTTCTTCCATCCTCACTTGCCAATCGCTCAATCTGGAATGGGACGGTGTTGGCGGTTGGTCTGAGGGCGCAGGACAGTGATGCAAGTGAAAGGAATTGGAGAGGTTACGAGTGGCGGCGGCGCATCTGGAGAAGACAGAGACTCAGAGAGGGAAGCAAGAGTAAGGGTGGGGGCAGGAGTGGAGGCGGAGGCGGAACAACAGCTCTGGAGAATGAGTGAGTGAGTGAGGGAGGGAGGGATGCCTCTGGATCGTGATGTATATGCAGGCGAGGGGCACATGGGCTGCCTGGTGGACTGAGCCAGCCCACTTCTTACCCCTTCCTTCTTTTCCTTTTCCTTTTTCCTATTCTTCCTCCTTCATGCTGATGCCTTGCATTTCCTTACCTTAGTATGGCCTCGCCTCGCCTCACGCCTCACTCACCAAAGTGGTATTGAGTCGCCATGGCTCGCTTTACCGCCTTGATAACCATGGTTCCACATTTCTATTGATATAGTTCTACTTTTCTGAGTTATGCACCCTTTTTAAATGTTGAATCCTTGAACGTAACTGCTACTGATCCAATGTATGTTTTCTTTCTTCTTGCTTAGATAAATCAAGATCACAGGGTGGACCAGACTCTAAGAAGGATCTAATCATCCATAGGGATGGGAATAGTCAAAATATTGCAGCACAGACTTTCACTTTTCGTGAACTTGCTGCAGCCACTAAGAACTTCAGGCAAGATTGCCTTTTAGGGGCGGGAGGTTTTGGTCGTGTATATAAAGGACGCTTGGAGAATGGGCAGGTAAGTCTCTCTGAAAGATGCATTGACATTTTGTCTGTAAAGCTAAACCCTCTAATTTGACTTCTGAGTTGAAACATTAAGTAAAATGTTGGTAGACAATGCTAACATAACGATTATACTTACGCCCTGGATTAGTCCTGGATACTAACAGAGTTTTACTTCCCAGGCTGTTGCTGTGAAGCAACTTGATCGTAATGGTCTCCAAGGAAATAGGGAATTTCTGGTTGAGGTTCTCATGCTCAGTCTCTTACATCACACTAACCTGGTCAGTCTAATTGGCTACTGTGCTGATGGTGACCAACGCCTTCTTGTTTATGAGTTTATGCCATTGGGGTCACTAGAAGATCATCTGCATGGTTTGTGTCTCTCCTCTTTGTCATCTAGTCTTCCGAATATTCCATGAGTGCCTGTAGCAATTTAATGAAGCATAGTGGCATGCTTCATCTGACTGTTAAATCTATTTTATATATAGCATGACTGTAACTGTGTGCTAGATCGTAATTCTTGGTTCAGCTTAAAATGATAAGCATATATGTTGTACTACTAATGGGCCTATCATATAATGTAGGGGTGCTAAATTTTTATATCGTGTGCCTGGCCATGTAATTTTTTTATACGCTATCTATAAATAAAAAACAACCAAAAGCAAACAAACTCGACTAGAGGGAGAAACGTCCCCCTGATTTTGTTCTTAAGAAGTTTGTGCTAGCCTTCGAACCTGAACTGGTGATGGGGGTTTCATCAACCCCCAGACTTCATAGGTCTAACCAGTGTAACTCAGGAGAAGTTGGCTTTTCATAGGCTAAAATGAATCTGTTGATGTTTGCCTGGGACTTTTGTGTGTATTTAGCGAGACCTTTGGATGAAGCTTGCTGTGAACATAAAAGTGTTTTTTTTGAAACAAACGAACATAAAAGTGTTAAACCATATGTAGACAGTTCCTTCTGACTAGAGTTGGTATTCTTTTCTTTCTTTCCTTCCTTTTTTGCTCTTCCAATTCTTTGCAGTCAGCTCACGGTCTTGTAACTGAATAGTATTTATTTGTTTATTTGTATAGATCTGCCACCAGATAAAGAACCTCTTGACTGGAACACACGGATGAAGATAGCTGCAGGTGCAGCTAAGGGCTTAGAGTACCTTCATGACAAGGCAAGCCCTCCAGTTATTTACCGAGATTTTAAGTCGTCAAACATTCTTCTTGGAGAAGGGTTTCATCCGAAGCTATCAGACTTTGGCCTTGCAAAACTTGGTCCAGTTGGTGACAAGACCCATGTTTCAACACGTGTGATGGGTACATATGGCTACTGTGCTCCAGAATATGCAATGACTGGGCAGCTGACAGTTAAATCCGATGTGTATAGCTTCGGTGTCGTGTTCCTTGAACTTATCACAGGGCGTAAAGCAATTGACGACACCAAGATCCAAGGAGAGCAAAACCTAGTGGCATGGGTATGTTTCTATCTTATTTCATCGCATGTAGCTTTTTTTTATGTCAGTAAAACACCTATCTGTGCTTATAAATGAATGCATCATAGTTCAACTCATCTGAAACTGCTATCTGATAGACTGATACTGCCACAGCCTTTAAAACAGAAACGTCTGTTTGTAGACAGTTTTATCTGGACGACTAATACACTTCATCTAATCTGCAGGCTCGTCCACTGTTCAAGGACCGCAGGAAATTCCCTAAAATGGCTGATCCAATGCTTCAGGGACGCTTCCCTATGAGGGGTCTATATCAGGCCTTGGCTGTTGCTGCCATGTGCTTGCAAGAGCAAGCTGCTACACGCCCTCACATCGGGGATGTTGTCACTGCTCTCTCATATCTCGCTTCTCAGGCATATGACCCAAATGCCCCTGTTCAACACAGCCGGAGTAATTCATCTACCCCCAGGACCAGAAACCCTGCTGGATGGAACGAAGACCAGCGCAGTGTGCGCTCGCCTAATAATCATCATTCTCCAGACCCGTGGCAGAGGGACGCGGCCAGGGCATCCAAGTATGGAGCAGAGGTTAGCAGGACTAGCTCTACCAGCGACTCTGGCCGGCGATCAGGCCTGGATGACATGGACCTGACCGGGTCGCAAGTGGGAAGCCCAGCTCAGACCGGAAGAAGAAGAGAAGCTCCAAGGGCCACTTACAGACAGCGCGCTGTGGCAGAGGCCAGGATTTGGGGGGAGAATTCAAGGGAGCGAACAAATGGCCATGGTAGCTTCGACAGCACACATGAGTGAAGACGGGGAGGTTCCATTCAAGGCATCATTCCAGACCCACCATGGGTTGAGTTCACTCATCAGCTCCAGTCGGATCCGATCTTGGGACATGGCATCGGAGCCACCTGGTCCCGAGTGTCTGTGAATAAGGCTTTTCTTGCCCTCCTGTGGCGAATGCAATTCTCCTGGTGTCCATTCCTTGCGAATGTGACCTGTGTCATGCTTTCGGGGAGCCTAAGGAGGAGCCTGTAGGATTCAGTCAGAGGTAGACAGGTCAGTGAAGAGGGTGGGGCGCGGGGTCACATTGGTGAGTTGTTTTTGTTTTGGCGGCTAAATGCTGAGTATGTTCAGCTGCATGTATCCTTTTTGTGTATGTGTATGTGTAAGAGCAACTGTGTCAGGTTTGGCTACCTGTGAAGCTGCTGCTGGCCAGCTGCTGCTTCCTCCCCCTTTGGGAGTTCAGAGCTCAAATGTAGGATAGGCGATGTTGCTGAGTACAGCAACTGTTTTATGTTAGAGTTGCCGCTTCCCAGAACAGTTGCATATATCTGTATGACCATGTCGTGATCCTTGCGCGGCGCCCCAATCCGTGCAGACGACTGCGCGTCGAGCCGCCCGCCTGGCCGGGGCGGCGGCCGGCCGGCCGGCCGGCGGCAGATTGGCATTGGTGGCCGCACGGTTTGCTGAAGCCGCCGGCATGGCACACCTGGGTGGGCAGGTGGCGCTGGTACGGCGGCGATTCAGCGCTGACCATACCAGATCGGCATCCGAACAATTGTGAATGAAGACGATGAAGAACAGAAGAAGAGGCCAATATGACGATGATCACGGCAGCGGCAGGTAGCCATTTCGCCAAGATCCGAAATCACTAGCTGGTGCGCGGGAACAGGGCCCACACGTCAGGTTATGTTTGACTCGCCTACCCTCCTACCCTACCCACGCATCGCGGCGGCTTGACGTGCGGGCCCAGCGCGTGTGGGTCCCTCTTCCCCGGGTCGTGTGAAAGAGTAACGGGGAAGAAAATTACTACTACTTCCGTTCCAGAAAAAAAATACAATTATGAGAAACGTGTCAATCAAATTTACTCAACTTTGATCAAGTTTATAGTAAATGATATTAGTATTTATGTCTCGAAATAAGAAAATATATTCTATAACTAATGTAATGATACTTATTTTGTCTTAGGAATGTTAGTATAATTTATATAATTTTAATTAAAGTTAAAATTATTTGATATACGATAATTGTATTCTTTCGTAGACGCTGTCCGTACATACACTGGGTCAGCAATGGGCCATGGAGGTCCACCGCGGGGGTTGGTGAGCGCACCGCACACCAACGCGATTCGCGCAGCCCTGGCCGCGCCTGCAGTGCGATTATTTGGCCCCTTGGCCGGACGTATTGGCGCTGCTCTCCCAGATCAAAGGGCTCGCTTCAGCTCCGCACTCGGTACTCTCCCTCCACCGCGCTGCAGGGAAGACGGGCGGCCGAGCGCGCCCTCGATCCAGATCCAAGGTAACTCCTCCGTCTTCTCACCGCGGCCGCGCCCCCTCCCCCTCCCGTCCGGGACCGGTTTGCACCTCGTTTCGTTCGTCAATCATCGGCAGGATGCCCTAACAGGGTAGCGCGGGCGAATCTGCTGTTACGTTACGTCCGGTTCTGCTCGGGAGGACTGGACTGCCTTTTTTGTTTGCTGGTAGTGGTAGCCATGGAAATCGGAGTCTTCGTTTCTGAAACTTGAATGGATACGCCTAGCCATGTCTCCAAAACTCCTAGGATTTGACGCCGTGGACGGGCTTTTGATGCAGGAGAAGATAGATTTGTTCTGTAGATTTGGCTACGGTTAAAATAGTCCTTTAGGTTGTTGGGGGAATTGAAAGTTGAAACACATGCTGTGGTTCACGGTTCACCTCACCTAGTAGGGGAACTGGGAAGTGGAGCTACCTTTGAAGCCTTTGAAATCTTTAAACATGCTGCACTTGTCTTTTGTGTCGGCCATCCTTGCCATCAGTCAGCTCTTAGTACTCGGTCACTGCCTTCATTTCTTAATCTTTTGTTCACAACAAACCGGTAGTGCTCATGATGAGGCTTCTTCCTCCTCCCGGTTCTTCACGTGCACGGCCAGAGATCTTTAACGCGTTGTTTGGTTTCAAAAAATGCAATGATCCATCATCACCCTGTTCGTTAGCGACATGCCTTGTTTGAGGAATGGAATGGGTTGATCTGTCACCACCTCATTCCTCGCAGGAACATAAATTAGGAGAGACACGAGAGACGGTGCCATCCCTTCAAAATTCGTGGTATCTAGCCCATGATGGACAAAATCTATCTAGTACGGGTCTGTCCCTGGTACCAGCGCATATCCTCTGTTACATTTGGGCTGAGGTCTGTGTGGCCTGCAGGGGCGGATCCAAAGGGGGGGCTGCCGGGCCTACAGCCCTCATAGTGAGCCTAATTTCTTCATTAGACCACGGTTACTTAGCCTCAAATCACCATTAATCTCTAGCTCTAGCCCTAAATCACCATTATTTAGCCCCCCTTTGTCCCCATCCTGCATCCGCCACTGGTGGCCGGTGGCCTGCATTCTAATTCATAGACCTGATGGTTTTGGCGCTTGTGTGTCCAGGTAGGAGATGGCTCTCACGAGAATTGGTCTCGCCGGCCTCGCGGTCATGGGACAGAACCTTGCCCTCAACATTGCGGAGAAAGGGTTCCCCATCTCGGTCTACAACAGGACGACCTCCAAGGTTGATGAGACCGTGCAGCGTGCCAAGGTGGAAGGAAATCTCCCCGTGTTTGGTTTCCATGACCCCACATCCTTCGTGAGCTCCATCCAGAAGCCCCGTGTCGTCATCATGCTCGTCAAGGCTGGGGCGCCGGTGGACCAGACCATTGCCACACTCGCGGCGCACCTTGAGCAGGGAGACTGTATTATTGATGGTGGCAATGAGTGGTATGAGAACACGGAGAGGAGGGAGAAGGCGATGGAGGAGCGTGGGCTCCTATATCTTGGCATGGGTGTATCCGGAGGAGAGGAGGGTGCCCGCAATGGCCCGTCCTTGATGCCCGGGGGCTCCTTCGAGGCATACAAGTACATTGAAGACATTCTTCTCAAGGTGGCTGCTCAGGTACCTGACAGCGGTCCGTGCGTCACATATATTGGCAAAGGTGGATCAGGCAACTTTGTCAAGATGGTTCACAATGGAATCGAATATGGTGACATGCAACTTATCGCTGAGGCATATGATGTTCTCAAGTCGGTCGGTAAGCTCACAAACAGCGAACTGCAGCAGGTGTTCTCTGAGTGGAACAAAGGTGAGCTCCTCAGTTTCTTGATTGAGATCACGGCCGACATCTTTGGTATCAAGGATGAGCAGGGTGAAGGCTACCTGGTAGACAAGGTCCTGGACAAGACTGGGATGAAGGGAACTGGGAAATGGACAGTCCAGCAGGCTGCTGAACTTTCTGTAGCTGCTCCTACAATTGAGGCATCCTTGGACTCCAGGTTCCTCAGTGGTCTGAAGGACGAGCGGGTGGAGGCTTCCAAAATCTTCCAGGGTGACTACTCCACTGGCCTGCCGGTGGACAAGGCACAGCTGATCGAAGATGTGAGGCAAGCTCTCTATGCCTCCAAGATCTGCAGTTACGCACAGGGCATGAACATCATCAAGGCCAAGAGCTCAGAGAAAGGATGGGGCCTCAACCTTGGTGAGCTAGCGAGGATCTGGAAGGGAGGGTGCATCATCCGTGCCATCTTCCTCGACCGCATCAAGAAGGCTTACGATAGGAACTCCAACCTTGCCAACCTCCTTGTTGACCCTGAGTTTGCCCAGGAGATCATGGACAGGCAAGCTGCCTGGCGCAGGGTTGTCTGCCTAGCCATCAACAATGGTGTTAGCACCCCAGGCATGTCTGCAAGTCTGGCCTACTTCGACTCATACCGCAGGGACAGGCTTCCTGCCAACCTGGTGCAGGCACAGAGGGACTACTTCGGGGCTCACACCTATGAGAGGGTTGACATGCCTGGTTCTTTCCACACCGAGTGGTTCAAGATCGCGCGCAACTCCAAGATCTGAGTTGCTGCTCTGCTGACGGCACTTACAACACTATAGAACATGATTTCGTGTTTACATATGCCGCCGTGTCGAGTAATCAATCATATACTGCTTGCAGGGGAGGAACTGTGGTTTAATTTTATTTTCCATGCGCAGTGCTTAATTTAGGTCAGGAAGTCCTAAGTTGCTCCCATTGTTTTCCTGTAAGAGCTAAGCAGTACCAGATGAAGAACATTATATTTGCCGGAAATTTGCTGTTTATCTTTGTAATAACATGAATAAAAGCATTTTGACATGCCTGTGTTTAGTTCTCTGTCTGTTGGCCAATCAATATATTTTCCTGTGCCTTGACAGAAATTCTCTCCTGTAGTATTTTTCTCGTCTCCGTTTGCTGCACTGAACTGTTGGCTAATTTTCCCAGTCCCTGGACATCCAAACTAGGCCTGATGGTCAACTTTGCAATAGCTCAGCATTAGTGTCATTTCACGAATGTTCACACTCCCCGTTTATAAGAAAGACGAATGCTCGGAGTTGTATTGTTGCTCATGCCAAATTGGACGCACTGTTGATTTTTCAGATGCATTTGTCAAATGTCGGCATTTATATTTGCAAACTGAACAATACATTACGTAATCACAGCAAGCATCTCCAAATCGGCATGCTCGTTCCAACCCTCGCTTTGATGCATTAACAATTCAGCAGCCAGCATCACAATGGAGGTGAGAGGGAACATATGTGCAGCACTAGCTCTGAACATTACTGATTCGTGATGCTATTATACTATACAAATCATACACTGGTTCACTGGGCACTGAATCCTCTGTCATTCGACAAACCAGGCTGCTTCGACAATACGAGATTACCTTTGAGGTCCATCTGATACTGCAATCTGCTGTAGTCCATGACGATTCTGCAGGAGCTCCAGTCTTCTGCATGCATGCTGACGCCAAGATAGTATATATGGTCTCGCACGCTGTTTCCAATTACTGACCTGAACACCGAAAAATGCAAAAACAAATATGGAAAGCACCCATAAGTTAAAAGTGGAGAGGGACAAAAGGAAATGCTAACAATGAATCTGCTGTGTTCTTTCATCTGAGAGAGATAGAGGACCTGCAGCATGTAGGGTCTTCACCAGAATCGTCGCAGATCTTTTCTGCAGAGTACACTAGGGTTCCTAATCCAACATTATGGACCCATACCTGAATAAATAAACAATAAAGTATATGAGTCTAGGGGAGCATACAAACAAGGAATGCCATATATCTGTAGAAGTAGCAAAGTACAATACCTCTCTTGGGAAGTGATGGTAGGTCTTCTGTGGGAAGAATGCGAAGTACGGTGGCAGGTGAGGCACGATATCGTGGGCATGAGTAACTCGAATTGCTTGAGGCAAGTATGTCTTGAAATAAGAAGCAAATGCAGCATTGCCAATACGGGGCTGCCCAAACGTCATCAGTTTTACGCCATCCAAACCGTAGTTCACCTAAAAGAACATAGACATTTATTTTTGGGTGTAGAAGCTAAACAAGAAGGAAGAAAATTATGGAGAAATATTATCTTCTTTTACGGAAACATGGCACTCCCAACATTTTGGCCCCGTTTGCCAGGGCTTCTCCAGCGGCTTCAGGAGCCGTTTGGAGCCGTTTTCTGCCAAACGGGGTAAAATGAAACGGCTCCACCGATGAAGCCCATAAAAACGTGTTCTCACAGAGCTTTGGGGTGGGAAGGAGCCAAAAATAGTGGCTTCTCCCGGCTCCTCCTCTAGGCCCCTAAAAACATGCTCTCACAGGGAAGCCATTTTGCCAAACGGTTTACCAAAACCGCTTCAGCTCCACCGGTGGAGCTGTTCGTGGAGCTGAAGCCAAAAAAAAATGGCTTCATTAGTGAAGTGAAGCCCTGCCAAACGGGGCCTTTATTTAAAGCTATATTTATGGTAAAATCCTAACTGCTCAGACATGTGGAAGATTATCCGAAACTCAAGACAAGCTTTAGATTGCTAAATGAAAGATGAAGCATTATCCCTACAACAGGCTAACTCAACGCCTGCAAATATTGCCACCGAGCATAAATTTCTGAAGAATGAAGAGAAGCTTAAATAGCATATGCTTCGGGCAAGGTTCAGTACTCACAACAAGATCGAGCGCACAAAATGAAGCCATAGCTCCACCCATTGAATGCCCCGTGATCATGATTGGAATATCTCCGTAAGCTTCCCTAGTCTTTTGAATACCACTGACTACTCCATCACGTAGTGTCGTGTTGTGGTAAGCAGCATAAAACCCTCGGTGCACCTATAACCAGGCAGAACAATAGTATGAATTGGGTTTGCCACAAGTGCTGTTTAAATATAATCATTAAGCTATACTCACCATTGCTTCAGGCATGCCAGGGTAGTCAAGATCAAGTTGTTTCCATAACAAGTCCTCTATCCAATTCTGGATGCTGAGAAATTGGACAATCAATATAGTTGGGGTAACAGAGTACATTTTATACATTGCACACAGATAAGACAAGTTGTTAACTAAAGGTCAAAGTACTTCTAAAAGATAAATGTATACGAATGAAACATAGTAGTACATAATGGGTTGATTAGTACAGATTTGAAGTAGCGGAGTTCTGAGTTGAGATGAGAATAGCATGTTTAAGAACTAAGCAAAACAGGATATGTGCTTAGTACCTGTTCTCTTGAGTTCCTCTAAAAACAACGACGACGGCGTTTATATCGCTGGCAAAACCAACATATGCCTGCTTATATTCATTAAAACACAATGAGTATACTACATGGCAGGGAGATAATGGTACGAATAAAGCAAGTAGAGAAGAACCTGCAAGCAGTTCTCAACATCTACAATGATCTCTATCATCTCGAACCCCTAGGCCATCCAATAAAATTCCATAATCTATCTCCAACATTGCATGGGGTGGGATAACAAAACTCAGAATGCACATGAGTGGTAGTGAAGGTTTACCTTGATCAAGTCACCGCATCTGGCACATGTCCAAGTAAACAATTCTGTCAAATCAGCAGTATAGATCTGCAAAATATCGTAATGTTTACCTCCAAAACACAATAAAGAAAAGCCACAAACCTAAATAACTGTGGCATATTTCCATATGAATTTTGAGGAAACAGTTTAAGAAGTTGAATATTGAGGAAGAAGTAAGGGGGGGAAAGGTAAATGAACTTACTGCAGCAGCATACTCCACAAGTATCTGGGCAAGAGTCGAGTTGTATATGGTAGTGGAAGGGTTCTGTTTGATCGTAAGTTCTATTTGACAAAAGCAAAGCGTTACAACAAAGTTTCATTGCGAAATTACTGTGGAGTAATATGGAACACGATGAATACTTGGAGACAAACCAACTAGCAGAAAGAAAAGTATGTAACATGGAAAAATAAAGGAAAAAGTATAACTGCATAGAAAATTTTATTTAAGTGGGCATATGTTGACGTCTTTGAATCAAATCTGTACGCAACTGTTGCTTGTTAGAGTATGAGTAGGCTACAAAACCATACCGACAAGACACGGCTCCAACGTTGTCTTTCAACCTTGAAGAATCGAAATGCAAGGACAATGCAGATTTTATACTACTAAAAGAAAACCTGACGAATCGAAATGCAAGGACAAGGCAAATTTTATACTACTAAGAGAAAACCTGAAGAATCGAAATGCAAGGACAAGGCAAATTTTATTATACTACGAAAATGTAGCTGCCTAAAAGCATTGGCAGAACATGTGTCTGCATAGCAGCAGGATCGTTTGCTGCTAATTTATTTAAGCAACCTTTGAAATCTAAACGCCTTCCCAGTTCGTTACTTCGTTTAGAGAAGCCTAAGAAACAGACGCACTAAAAGCATCTCATCTGTTCTTTGCACATGGTTCCTTTTTTTTCACAGCTCCCACTCTGCCACTCATAGCAAGTATACCCAAATTAAGTAAAACAAGCACCTCTAAATACAGACGACGAACATCGCGATAGAACATTGCGGAACCAATAAACAGAAAAAAGGAGTAATTGCTCTCACCTCTGCCGGAGCAAACAGCAAGGAAGCACAGCAGAAGCGCGGCCGTGAGCAACCCGCGGCGCCCCATCCCCTGAAACGCTGAAGCCACAACAGAGGACAGGACAGGAAAGCCAAGCGCTCAGCCGAAAATCACGACGAGTTCCGGCAGCTGAAATTTGGGCGGAGATTAGGCGAACCACACCAGGGTCACCCTTCCGGAGAGGCCCGAATCGGCGGTGCCCAGCCGCGCCGCCCAGGCCGAAATTCCGCCGCTCGCGGTCGCGGGGCGCGAGAGATCGGTGGATTCGGTGAATCCAAACTTGCGCGGAATCTTATTCTGACACAAGCAAGCGAGAGCAAGCAATCGGAGCCGGTCTGAGGCTCGGGAACAGTCGGGAAAGGAGGGCGAGCGAAATCAATACTAGTATGGTGCTATGATATGATTATACGTATAAGAAATAAAAAATAAATTAGGACTGATGATAAATTAAGGGAGCGAAGCGAGAGCACGAAACCGAGATCGGTGTTGTTTTTATACAGGGAGGAAGGGAGGAAGAACAGTAGAACACTGGTGGGTTGGTATGACGAGGATGCCCCGCTGAAGCTTATCGGGATTTCGATCGGGGTCGCGATCGGAGACTGGTGGGTTGGTACGAGTAGCAGCGCCCTGTTCGTCGGTACTTTTTCGACCGACGAATACTATTTTTTCTTCTAATAAATTAATTAACATATTTTTAATTATAATTTATCAGCCAAACAAACAACTCTGGCTTATTAGCCGAATAGGGCAAGATCTTGCTATTCACCATCGATCAGTCTGTCTCCTGCACAGCACAGCACTGCACTATCACCAGGCCAACAACTCTGACGCGAGTGGCACAGCGGTTCGTAGCGTTCTTAAGGTATATTTTTATGTTCTCAAACTTTTAAATGAATATCATTTGGACATTGTGGAGTGTTCGGCTGGTGATAAAGTCGCTGGTGCTGATTTGTATAGTTGATTTTTTTAGAGAGAAAAATATTGTACCGTGTCTTATAAGCCAGCAAATAAGCTGGCTGAAACAGCCAGCCAAACACTCCCTATAATTCTATAAATACTCCCTCCCATTTCCCATCCAAATTATAAGAAGTTTTGATTTTCTTAGATACGAGATTTTACTATGCACTTACATACGAGATTTTGATTTTCTTAGAGATCTAAAGTTTAGAGAGATGGATTAGCTCTTAGATATAAACTATTTCTACTATCTAGAAAATTCATAATGTGCTGTTATAATTTAAAACGGAGGGAATACTATTTTTAGGCTACTAAATTATCTTAAGGTGTTATCTTAGTCTTTAAACTTGCCACGGTGTCTTCCTATTAGTGCCTTGATATGAATGCTGCGCCTTGTTTCTACCATGGCAGCCATCCGGCTAGGAGCATAGCTTCAACGTTCCGTGCCTTCGCGATCGAGTATTCAAGGACATTGTGTCCTTTGATGTGGAGGAAGATAATAAGGAGCATGGAGATGGAGTGCCCAAGATTATGTGAACAGGGCCTATACCCCATCTTTGTGTGATGGGACTTTTTTAGGTTTAGATGACACTACGTGACACCTTCGATGACTTAAAATAATAATTTTAACCTAGATGACATCATATAATATATGGACATAAAAAGCACTACCTTTATTCTAAATTATAAGACATTTTGACTTTTCTAGATATATTGCTTTTGCTATGTATCTAAATATAATGTATATTTAAGTGCATAACAAAGGTAATGTATCTATAAAAGACAAAATATCTTATAATTTGAAACGGAAGGGTACATTTTAAGAGTTTAAATAGCCGAATAATGTCACATAACAAGTTGAGTGACAGCCTTTGCATTTTACAACCACACAATTGTTTGCAAGAGCTAGCAAAGCAGAGGGCATCGATTAATTGCAGATTACCTTTAGAATGTCTAGCTAAAAAATGATAGATCAGTCATTTGGTAATTGGTATTATAAATCTTAACAAAAATTTATATAAATTTGATCAAATCAAAAGGACTTTAATTTATCACTATACTATAATTGCATCATTTCGATGTGCGAGAGAGCAAGAATATAATAGCAACATGTCAAGCAGGGCGGAGCTCAGTGGAGCCTGCAACAAAGCCCTTGTTTAGTTCCACCCTAAAATCTCAAAAAGTGCTACAGTACCTGTCACATCGAATGTTTGCGGCCTATACATGGAACATTAAATGTAGACGAAAAAAAAACTAATTGCACAGTTTGGTGGGAAATTGCGAGACAAACGTTTTGAGCCTAATTAGTCTATGTTTGAACACTAATTGCCAAATAAAAACGAACGTGCTACAGTAGTCCTAAATTCCAAATTCCTATGACTAAACACGCGCAAAGTTACCAAGGACAGACAGCAGCAGCATGTAGAGGGTGGCAGCAAAGAGCCACAGACGTACTAGGCTGGGATCATAATGACTTGCTAGCTTTTGCATTTAGGCCTTGTTTGAATCCAGGGTATAAAGTTTAGGGTGTCATATTGGATGTCACATGGGTGTGTCGCATAGGTTGTTCGGATACTAATAAAAAAACAAATTACAAAATCCGTCAGTAATCCGCGAGACGAATTTATTAAGCATAATTAATTCATCATTAGCACATGTGTTAATGTAGCACCACATTATCAAATCATGAATTAATTAGGCTTAAAAGATTTGTCTCGCAAATTAGTCGTAAACTGTGCAATTAATTATTTTTTAGTCTATATTTAATACTCCATACATATGTCTAAACATTCGATGGGATATGGAGTAAACTTTAGGGAAAGAACTAAACAAGACCTTAGTTCTCATATGTAGCAGTCATGGCAGCTTACTCCTTGCTACAACTACAATATTAGGTTGAGACCTACGTATACTGGTGCTGGAAGTACTCGTAGTTCTTAATCAGTGTTTATGCTCCATAAATTCACATGCCGTGGTGCTTACCATAAAAATTAGGATAATGTTTAGCACTGAATTAAATTAGCCCCCTCCTGATGTTGAGTCACGCTCCGCCACTGATGTCAAGAGCCACTGAGCAAGCGTGCGATGATGGGAACGTTGAGGCATGCATGACATGAAGTCATGAACGAAAGAGGTGAGCGTTAGCGATCAGCGGGTTGCCTGCCTCACCAAACAGATAGATTATTCCGTTTTAATTTCCCTCCTTTCTGAAAACCATTCCGCAGTGTAACGCATCCGTGCACGTCTATCATTTTGTTGGGGGTGGTTATGCGCATCTGCATGAGCTCGACGTAACTGTAACTTGCTCATGTGGCAACCCACCAGAAAGTTCACAACCGATAGAGCTACCAGATTCGTTGTTTTTTCTTTCCTAACGTTCTGAAAACGAGGCCTCAGCTTTGATTTGATCTTTCAGGTTCAGCCGTTCGGGGCACCACAGCTTTTTAATTTGTCACTACATGTTTTTTATTTCGATAATGATACGGTACAGACCCGCACAGACACAACCGAGCGCGCGACTTCTTATCCCATCCATTCCGCGACCGCCCGCGCCCACTCGCTCGCTCCGCTCATCCCCCCCCCCCGGCGCTCCTCCCGCACTCACTCACTGCTACGCCGCATGCCGTTTTCCGAGACGCCCTCGGGACGGACGCCACGCCCGCGCCCTAGGTTGCTGTCGCCCCCTCCCTCCACAACCTTCATGCGACCCCATCGGAGACGAGGACGACGGCGGCGGCTCTGACGAGGTAGGTCGGTCCTTCTCTGGATCTAAGCCCTCCTCCTCCTTCCTCCTTCTCTAGATCTGAGCGCTCCACCTGCTCTTCCTCTGGATCTGAGTCATCCTCCTCCTCTGGATCTGAGGGCACGGCGGTGTCTAGGGTTCCGACGATCTCTGGGGTTATATTCTCTCCTCCCTCCGGCAAGTTCGAAGGAGATGGGCTGAGGACTGTTTTGTACGTTTTTTTTTGTGGGTTCTCCCGTGTTGTAATGGATTTTTTAGATGCTGCAACAGATGATTTTCGAATGTTGCAATAGGATTTTTGGGTCGTTGCAACAGATGTTTTTGCGATGTCGTAGTACTGCTTGAAATGTTGCGGTACATATTTTTTCCATGTTGCATTACATGTTTTTCGATGTTGCAGTACATATTTTTTTATGTCGCAGTACATATTTTTTTTGTTGCAGTACATATTTTTCGACGTTGCAGTGCATATTTTTTAAATATTGCACTACATATTTTTGCGATGTTACAGTATTTATATTCCGATGAAAATATATAATTTTTTCATATGTTTGCAATGTTGCACTTGAAGTGTTTCATGCTCTTTTGGGACAGGGGCGTGGTGGGGGAACGGGGTGCGTTGGAGAACTGGAGACAGGGGCGTGGTGGGGAGTGGAGGACAGGGCGGGTTCTGTTATGTGGGGACGGGCAGGGTTCCGTTCTATTCCGCGCGGGGGCGGGCGGGCTTTGAGAAGAGACCGGTGTCCGAACGCATTTGCACGTCGAACGTCAGGGCGCTAGAATCGCCGTTTTTTATTTGTAATTACTCCTCTTTCAGTGTTAACATGCATGCTTCCGGAATCTGGACAGAGAGACAGAGTCTGTTAAGACAAGCGCAGCTACACGCACGTACCCGTAAGTCAATTGTATTGCTTGGAGCAATTGGATCGTTAGGCTTATTTCGTATTATAAATACTAATAATTTTGGTCAAATTTTTAAAATTTTTCTCTTGTGCCACGTCGATGAGTTCCACGCAGAGGATGTGAATGAGAAAATACTAGCAATGGCGAGGCCTCGAAACCGTTGGACACACGAAACGGTGCCGTGTTACTATCAGTGCAGTGGTCTTTTGACATGGTCCGACGACCGAGCGCATCCGCATGCAGTTACAACTTTTAACTGAGTTTTGACATCACAGCAGTCCCAGGTGCTGTTACGCTACGTCGCTACCGACGTGGGACTGATGTCACCTTTTTTTTTTACCTTCTGTTTCTTCTTTATTACGTATATAGAAAAATGGTATGTTAATTGGTCGCTAAAAATAAAACACTGGCATGAGCATGGAAATTCATTTTTCCAGGAGAAAGGGCATGGAAATTCATGTCACGTGGACTTAGGTTCTTGGTGGGCTGGACCGTTGGACCTAGAAGAGCAGCTCGAGGGAAAAGTGGTCGGGCTCCAAAGATCTGGTCCCAAATTTGCTTACAGGCCAGAGAAGCCCATCATCCTTACACAGGCAGGCAGTGGGCAACGACCTAGCGTGTCCAGTGTGGTGGGCCACACCAGAACAGCCATCCCACGCACCAACACATCGGCCCATGGGAGACATGATTCGCTGGCTGAAAATGACATCTGAAAATCCTAATTATCGGATGGTTTTGCTTAGACATAGCATGAGCTGATAGGACTTGACATAAACTCTGTCAAGACATGAATAGGACCTGCTCCTTCGGTACTCTTTTATGATTTCAAACAAAAAGCGTGCACATAGAATTCTTTGGACCTCACCTGCTCTATTCTTAGAAGCACATCGAAAACATTAAGAGGCTGTTTGGTTCGGAGCCACGCTCCGCCACGCCACGCTGTGGCCCGCTATCATTCATTTCCGCAGCGTTTGGTTCAGGCGTAGAGTTTGGCAACCACCGCACCGGCACTCACAATTCTCGCCATACTCTGTGGCGATGAGTTTGGCCGCCATGGTTGTGGCGCCGGGGCGTGGTAAAAGCTGGCGCACAACCAAACAGCCCCTAAGCACATTAAAAAATACGAGCCAATTTAATTCCAGATAAACAAGTTCTACTATAAATGACAATGTCGTTTGCCGGTGACTAAAATTTAGGTGGTATGTCGGGAGGATGTTGCATGGGGTATTCGGATACTAATAAAAAAACAAATTATATAATCCGTCAGTACTCCACGAGACGAATTTTTTAAGCCTAATTAATCCGTCATTAGCATATGTTTACTGTAGCAAAACATTGTCAAATCATAGACTAATTAGGCTTAAAAGATTCGTCTCGTAAATTAGTCGCAAACTATGCAATTAGTTTCGTAACTAGTCTATATTTAATACTCCATGCACGTGTCAAACATTCGATGGAACAACGACTAAAATTTAGGAGGGGCAACTAAACACCCCTAAAGCTGCACGCTGCAAGCTACTCACACAATGAAATACAGAGGGCATCGCAATCATAACCATAGCTCAAACCTTTAGCAGAACCGAACATCCCCAACCTAACTAGCTGACCTCGCTTCACACAAATCAACATTTTTCATCTCGTTAGCAACAAATGCTTTGGAGATGCAATAGAATAAATTAGTGTGACTCGGGTTAAGTTGACCTCTTCTATTGGTGGACTTGACTCTCATTCTCAGTAGTCAACATTTTTGTTTTTTATATATATAGAAAAATCTCTAAATGAATCGGATTATTACTCGTCATGCGACACTTCACTGAAACTTCCTAAAATAGGTCGTGACTAATATTCTACTAGGAGTATATTATATATATATGAAACATCATATTCTAGGAGTATATTTTATATGAAACATCATAAAATGGACTTGCAAATAAAAACCACGACCAATATTATTCCACGTAAGCACCGTAATGAATAGTACTAATGAATCGCGATTATTAATTGCAATATGATTTTTTGCACAAAACTCCCTGGAAAAGTGTAACAGTTTGCGAAATAGTCCTTCCGCGCACTCGTCCCCATGGCTGATGCTCCCTTCTGGTCCGGCGACGGCGACGGCGACGGCAGCTGCCGTCGCGGCGAGTGGGCTCCCATTCCTCCTCCTGCTCTCCCTCCCTTTCCCAGCCGGGTTCCGCGTCGCTGCGCCCCCGTTCCTACAAGTCTCTCATCATATCCAGGTGGCTAACCCGCCACGGCGCTACCACCTCAGAGAAAGGGGGGTAAACAAGGAGGAAGAAAGTGTTCGTGTGGATTGCTGCGGATTGGAGGATCACAAGGTGGAGGGATATGGGGATTAGATCGGAGTGCGAGTTCGTGGACCATTGTTTCCCCAGGTGATGCTACGTTTGACTGCTTTGGACTACTTTATTTCATTATTTGTCCCCGCCTCAATGCTCGAACCATGATTTTTCTGCTCCAATATTTTTCTCTCCTATATATAAAAATAGATCTGTGTTCATCACGACACATAAGTAATTGTTGACTCTTGCATCATCGGATCATGCTAGTATAAGTTTTTGTTTCCTTCCTTTTGACACTAAAGTAGCACAGATTGAACCTCAAAAAAAGATGTAGCAAAGACTGATCATGCAATTCATGAACCGGGACGAACTACACGCACTTGGCCCGTCAAAACTTTACACAAAATCCTAGGCTTCAGACTTCAGTTACATGGCCTCGAAAAGTTTTCTTAAGATGCGATGGAATTTGGTGCCTTAAATTCTCTTTCCAGATTTGACAGAAAACTGGGCACAAATAAATCTTGCAGGAGACGGCTCAAATACCAAATCAACAAATTTCAGTAGTCAATTTATAATAACTTTCGGATCAGGTTACAGATCAACCTTTTGCAGTAGGCACATTGATAATAATAGAACGCTTTACAACTCAGCATAATTTATTTCATAATTTGAACTTAGCTAAACTCAACATATGATGCCTGCAGGAGGTGACTCAAATACCAAATCAACAAATTTCAGTAGTCAATTTATAATAACTTTCGGATCAGGTTACAGATCAACCTTTTGCAGTAGGCACATTGATAATAATAGAACGCTTTACAACTCAGCATAATTTATTTCATAATTTGAACTTAGCTAAACTCAACATATGATGCCTAGCTCGGTGCTCATCTCCTATTCACCCCAGCACACCTCAGAAGATGATCCTCCCTACCTTGAAGCTTGAAGGCGTCGCCCCATCCTAGTAGCAAGGGTAGTAGGCGACGCAGCGCCTGCGCCGTGGAGGTGTGCACAGCATCAGCAGCAGCAAGGCGAGGACGATGGTGACGAGCAGGCCCAGAAGGTTGAACTGCGGCTCATCATCTTCCTGGCTGCAACACAGCTTGCCCATGTTAGCTGTTAGAAAGGGCGGAGCGATGAGTTTTTGGTAGGATGGGGATGAAGGAGGCGAGGGGGGCAATTAAAGGCTTCTTGGCTGTGGAATTTCTTTATGCCGATGACTCTGGATGGAAGGTCTTTCTATTCTATGGTATGTCTGATAGGAGTCTTCTTTGCTTTCGGGCTTTGTTTTGTGGCTGTGTGGGGCTAGTTGTTGAGGCATCACTATCCGCTTTTCCATTTTGTAGTTTATTTTTCTTCTTGGTCCTTTTGGTTGAAGATGAGACAACTCACTCAACCAATCAATTCCACACCAACTAGTACCACTACCACCCAATCAGGATATAGTTTGTTACAGGCACATCAGTAGGAATGTTATATGATTTAAGTGGCATCAGCTTCCTGATTTACCTTTCATTATATCCTGGTCAAATCTTCTGACCTGTACTATCAGTATCAAGTGTTAATTTCATTATATTGACACCGTAATCCACATTGGTTGCATGTGCTGATACTGGTGGAAGGCCATGTTGTCTTCAATAATTTGCTGTTTTTTTTCCAGTGCTGCTATGTGTCGCGCATGGTTTTTCCCCCTCAAATTTTACTTCACTCGTAGGACACTGTCAGATCTATCGATAGCATATCTATTGTGGGCCGTCAACGTCAACTTGAATTCTGGTAAGCACATCATTTGTACTTTAATTAAAAGACACCTGTCCAGTTGTTTTCACTGTATAACTACAATTAAGTACCCTTCCTCATGTTGATAATGATTTTAAAAAATGTCTACCCAACTCTTGATGCATCATTTTGCTATTAGCATTTGCACATAAATTTTTTGAATAAAGACAAGACAACCTGTCTAGAAAAGGACATGCTGACTTAGTTTGTTGTTCTATATGTCCTTGATTTTGAATAATGCAACAAACTCATCAACAACTACCTACCAACTACATTGAAACCACATGGTCAGTATAGATTTGCCTAAAATGGTATTTTTAGACAAATACCTTAATGCTGTATTACACAGAATGACAGTCACTCTATCAATTCTGTAAGTATGCAGCAGTAAGAAGCACATATAGAACACACATGCATGCACAACCTCTTTGACTAAAAGGAACAGAGCATGTTGAACATTCAATGACGCATACATGTTATCTGGTATGGTACATCATTTTCAGTTCAAAAAGAAAGATGCACTTAGAGCAGCAGCCTTTTCATCATTGTTCTCCTTCTCTGGGCTCAAAAAGACGACGCACTTAGAGCAGCATCCTTTTCATTATCGCTCTTCTTCTCTGGGATATCCGAGTCCAATGTCTTTTCCTCGGTGGTTCTGGCCTCCTTTAAATCAATGGGTTCTTTCCCATCTGATTCCCCTGCACATGGGACAAATGGTTTTTATGCCAGTACTTAGTTCGGTACATGATGGTAACTCTAGAGCAGAATTATATAATTGCTTGCATGTAGGGAGTGATGGTGTCAGCAACAAAACGATTGTAAATTAAGGATAGCAGCAGAAGACTTATTACTTTGGCCCTGATCAATTATCATGAGTTCATGCCAAAATAGAAGAAATGTGCGGTCAATATATAGAATGACACAGTTAACAATAAGAAAATTCAACTTACCGTCCTCGTCTCTCAAAGGTGTAATGGATTTCCCATCCTCTGGCTCTTTGGAGACACTCCTCTTCCTGCTCAACCTTGTTCTCCCCTACTGTGTCCACCTTCTCCCTCTCCTCCTCCCCTTTCAATTCCTCGACAACTTTGGTTAGCACCTGCTCAACAGCAGTAGGATCTGGCAGGTCTGCCTCATTGTTTACCTCATCATCTTCAGAAAGTTCAGAGTGCCCTGCCGCCTCCTCTTCAGCTTCTGTTGCACCATCAGCTTCGGTCATGGCCTCCTCATCCTCAAAAACAGTAGACTCTGCCAGCTCCGCCTCTTTTTCCACCTCCTCATTGTCCTCAGAAGGCTCAGGTTTCTCTTCTACCTCCTCCTCCTCCTCCTCCTCTTGGGCTGCCGGTAAGCTGACAATTTCGTTGTCCTTGGTCATCGGGGAAGCTGCAGAGGCAACACTATCGTCGTCCTTGGTCGCAGGGGTAGCCACAAAGTGAATACTGTGACCATCCTTGGTCACAGGGGCTAATGGTTTTGCGAAGGTGACCACTGCCATCATCCTCAGTCACCATGGCAACCATGTCTTGGTCCTTAGTTGCTGGGGCAGCTGCAGAGGTAACACTCTCATCATCCTTGGTCACAGGGGAAACTGGTACTGCAAATGTGACACTTCCATCATCCTCGGTCAACATGGCAACATGTTGCTAGTCGTGGGGGCAGTTGCGAAGGTAACACTTTCATCGTCCTTGGTCTCGGCGTCATCTGGTACTGCGAAGGTGACACTGCCATCCTCCTCTGTCACCATGGCAACCGGGAACGTGACACTGTCATCCTCCTTGGGATCCTCAACGTTGCCGTTCTTGGTTGACGCAGCGTCATCATTCTCCTCGATTGCCATGTCTATATTTTCACCACCATTTTCCTTCTCGACGGCTGCCTTAGTCGATATTTTGAGCACAGCATCCTTCTTGATATCCTCTTCTTTCTCCTCGGTGATGACACTCACATCCTCAATTGATGACATGTCAGCCTTCTGATCGGCAACCACTGCTTTGTCCTTGACGACCTCATCTTTCTTCTCCTTGGCAGCCTTATCGATCAATGCTTCTTTGCCCTTTTCACCGGTGACCACTTCTCTAGCATCCGTGACGACTGCTTCATCCTTCTTGATCTCGACCTGTTTCTCCTCCCCGATGGCATTCGCCTTCGAGATCGCGTTGCCCTCCTTCTCAGTGACGGCTTCTTTGTTGTCCTTCACGACCTGTTCGGCCTTGTTGTTGATCCCTTCCTCTTTCTTCTCCCCAATGGCTTTCTCTTTCAATCTGGCTGCCTTGTCCTTCGTCTCAGCGATCACCTCGCCATTGGCCTTCGCAGCGGCGGTGGAGGCATTGTCGGATGGCTGAAGCACACGGGACGATGGCTGGGTGGCGTCGACGACGCTGGATTTCCTCTTGAATCGGTTGCATCTGCTGCTGCCGGAGTTGCCGGTGGCCACCGCTTCTTTGGAGCCACCGCAGCCCATGGTGGCTCAAAGGAGGAGAGGAGAGAGAGCGTCGGAGATGCAAAATGCAACGAGAGGACGAGGAACCAATATGGGGGGTCTGGGATTTGAGGCAAGGAGAAGTCGCAGGAGATTAATTAGGGTCTTGTATGCCACGTGCATGCATGAATGGACAAGTCTCGTGGGGGAAAACGCATGCATGCATGATGTGACAAATTTAGAGAAACCGTAACCAAACAAAAGTTTTTTGTTGAAGGGGTTGCGACAAGTGTGCTAGTTGTCTAATTGCAGCGCATCATTGCTGGGCTCGGCTGGCCGGTCGGTTACTGTCCTTGCTGATCCAAGAAGGAAGGGAACTATTCAGGTGCTTCATTATCCCCCTATGCTGACATGTCATCAATTGACTTGGATACAAAATTGCAAATGTTGATTGGGTGGAACGATGCAACAACACCATGTTTTTGTAGATCACAATACCATGCTGCGACGAACTGAGGTGCAATTAGTCATGTACTGAACCAAGCTTAAGAGCGCAAAACTCTTCCTTAGAATGCAACAGTAATTAAAGAACAGTGGTTGAGCCAGAGACCAGAGGATGAGATGAGATGGAGCTGCCATTGAACGGCAGGTGCGCATGCACAACTGCCAGTCCTTAATCTTGATCGCCGGTCTATAAAACCCTCCTCCACCTTGAGCTAGCGCTGCATCACATCAGTCCATACACTCAGCTGCATTTCTTTGGTTCACTCTCTGCAAATATTTGTGGCCTGGGCCGAGTTTTTGTGCAGCTGTGGACTGCGGTTACCGGTTAGGCAGCTTCCTGTCTTCGTGGGCGGTCGAGATGGGTCCTCATGGACCGGGAGGCCCAGGGTGGGGTCCGCCTGGAGGAGGCCCTGCGGGCTGGGGGCCGCCGCCCGGTGGACCTGGTTTCTGGGGACCTGGCTTTGGAGGCTTCATGGGATCTTGGTGAGCTGAATATTTAACTACTTGTAGCTAATAGCATTCCGATCCTTGCATTTGTAGACAGAACAGAACTGTCGAATCTGATGCTCAATGTTTTATTGTTTATATAAGATTCTCAGCATCTCTCGGTTAGTTTTTTTTCCTCGTGTTAGCCGGCAAAAATTTCAACCCTGATGGGCTATGGTTCTGCTGTGCAGCTTCTACGTTCTCTGCTGCTGCTGCTTGCTGCAGGACTGCTGCCCGCCGTTCCTCGGACACCCCGGCCCCGGCGGCCCGCCGCCCTTCTGAATTCTGATGCCGTTTCCTGATCAGATCCTTCTCCACGTGAAATAATGTAGTTTGCAGTAGTGCTGTCCCCTGTTGGTCCTCTGCAGAGCCCATCATGTTGAATGGATTTCTGTTTGCAGGTCGCTGTGCGTGCCCATCCTTTGTCTGCTCCCTACTTTTCGTTGCATGAACACTGATGAAAATCCAATCAGCCTAGCTCTTGCAACATAAAGGATCGTGAATTCGTGACTTTCTTGGATTTTCGATACACTGTTGTCATTGTGTGCCACTACCACTATAGGCCAGGATATTAGACTAGTTAATTAACTACACAAAATCAATAACCGGAAGGAAAGCAGATGTAAATAGTAACAACAACAACAACAATAACGACAAAGCCTTTAAGTCCTAAACAAATTGGGGTATGCTAGAGTTAAAACTCAGCAGAAGCAATCAAGGTTCAGGCACGTGAATAACTATTTTTCAAGCACTCTTATCTAATGCTAAGTGTTTAGGTATATTTTATCCTTTCAAGTCTCCTTTTATTGCCTCTACCCAAGTCAACTTTGGTCTTCCTCCGCCTCTCTTGCTTAGGATTCTACTACGCACTGGTGCCTCTAGAGGTCTCCGTTGGACATGTCCAAACCATCTCAACCGATGTTAGACAAGCTTTTCTTCAATTGGTGCTACCCCTAATCTATCACGTATATCATCGTTCCGAACTCGATCCCTTCTCGTATGACCGCAAATCCAATGCAACATACGCATTTCCGCGACACTTATCTGTTGAACATGTCGTCTTTTCGTAGGCCAACATTCTGCACCATACAACATAGCAGGTCTAATCGTCGTCCTATAAAACTTGCATTTTAGCTTCTGTGGTACCCTTTTGTCACATAGGACACCAGATGCTAGGCGCCACTTCATCCACCCTGCTTTGATTCTATAGCTAACATCTTCATCAATATCCCCGTCTCTCTGTAGCATTAATCCTAAATATCGAAATGTATCATTCCTAGGCACTACTTGACCTTCCAAACTAATATCCTCCTCCTCCCGAGTAGTAGTGCCGAAGTCACATCTCATATACTCAGTTTTAGTTCTACTGAGTCTAAAACCTTTGGACTCCAAAGTCTCCCGCCATAACTCCAGTTTCTGATTCACTCCTGTCCGACTTTCATCAACTAGCACTACATCGTCAGCGAAAAGCATACACCAAGGGATGTCCCCTTGTATGTCCCTTGTGACCTCATCCATCACTAAGGCAAATAGATAAGGGCTCAAAGCTGACCCTTGATGTAATCTTATCCTAATTGGGAAGTCATCCGTATCTCCATCACTTGTTCGAACACTAGTCACAACATTGTTGTACATGTCCTTAATGAGCCCAACGTACTTCGTTGGGACTTTATGTTTGTTCAAAGCCCACCACATAACATTCCTTGGTATTTTATCATAAGCCTTCTCCAAGTCAATAAAAACCATGTGTAGGTCCTTCTTCTTCTCCCTATACCGCTCCATAACTTGTCTTATTAAGAAAATGGCTTCCATGGTTGACCTTTCGGGCATGAAACCAAATTGGTTCATAGAGACCCGCGTTATTGCTCTCAAGCGATGCTCGATAACTCTCTCCCATAGCTTCATAGTATGGCTCATCAACTTAATTCCTAGGTAATTAGTACAACTTTGAATATCCCCTTTATTCTTGTAGATCGGTACCAATATACTTCTCCTCCACTCGTCAGACATCTTGTTTGATCGAAAAATATGGTTGAACAGCTTGGTTAGTGAAAGTGCATCTAGCCCTTTAGTGGTTTTTGGATGATTCAATGACAACGTGATTAAAGGTCTAACCCGTTTGCTAAGTGTGGACAGGTAATAGGTTATATCACAGGTACTTAATGAAAGCCAAAATGATGTGTTGTTGTATAAACAATCTAGTTCAAGCACAAGACAACAATGCAAATATAATTCATACAAAGGCTTATTTATTGTGGGATTTCCATATACTATGTGAAAGCAAGCTCGTAAGAATTAATTAATGAGACATGAGGGATTGCATATGGAATGGTCTCATATTTGAAGCTTGCTAAATTGAAATGAAAAAGATAAAAATACAAATGAATGGATGATTCAACACAAGATGTGACTTGATGGTTTGAGATGGTGAAGATTGCAAGGAAAGGCTTCGAGGTACTAAGCAAGGGTAAAGGGCAAGCGACGCCTTGGCGGCCGAAGAACCTAGCTAGGGTGAAGAAGGAAGTACTTGCATTTAGTTGAGGTACTAATCAAGCTATGATGGTCATGTTAATGTGGAGGATTAAATCACTATTGGAGTGTTTGATGGAAGTGACTTGATATATTTGGGATTATTCAAATTTGATGAATGGAATCAAGTCACGTGCTCAAGATGGCTATGCTCAAGTGAAAAGATCAATATCAACATATTGGCACCCTCACTTGATGAAGATTGGAATACACGCCTTTAGTTGAATGAGATCAACTCAAAAGGTTTAAATTTGTTATACTTTTAAATTTGAGTTAATAGGAATGTCGTACTATTAAGAGGGATGTATCATGTTGATAGATAATGTTTCATAAGTGCTCAAGCCAACCCATGTGAGTTTTGAGTGTTTGAGAGACAAAAGAGCTAACCTGTTTTTGCTGGTCTAGCAATACCGGACGTGTCTGGTGTTGATACCGGACGTGTCCGGTATTTGCCCAGCAATGGTAATATTGTTGATCTCGGGTTGGTTCGTTAGGAGTTTCGATGTGGGTCGGAAGTTTCGACGGTCGGGAGTTCCGGCAATGATCGGGAGTTCCGACGTCTCGCGCTTAACTAACTAGGAGAGTTCACTATGTCTGGTATGGACGGCCAGAGGCCAACGACTAGTTTTCAAATGCTATGAGGGTCAGGAGTTCCGACGATCGGAAGTTCTAGCATGAGTCGGGAGTTCCGACACCTCACATACTTTAACTTAGTTACCGTAGTTTTCAAATGTGCTGAGGGTCGGCAGTTCCGACGTCAGTCGGGAGTTTCGACGGTCGGAAGTTTCGGCATTCATCGGGAGTTCCGATGCCTCACAACATCATTGTAACTCTGCTACCGTTGGCGCAGTGTAAGTCATACCGGACGTGTCCAGTATGCATACCTGGCAACGGCTATAAAACGGCTAGTTTTTTCAAGGGGGCTATAAATACCCCTAAGCCTCCACCTTTGGAGGCTGTTGATTCTGCTGATACACATACTCCCTCCGGTTGTCTAAAGCAAGTCGTTTTGAGGTTGTCTTAAGTCAAACATTTTAAACTTTGACTACAAATAACTTCTTTTATGTTGAGTTTGAAAATATGAAAGTGATGTAAGTAGATTCATCTCGAAATGTAGTTTCATAAAAGTATATATTGACTATATTTTATAACAAAAAGTTGCAGTCAAAGTTATTTCTTAAAGACCGTATCGATGTCCAAAACGACTTGCTTTAGAGAACCGGAGGGAGTACACGTTTTTGAGTCTTGCCAACTCTCCCAAACCCTCTCTTAGTGAGTGTGTGATCCAAATCACAAAATCCATTTGTGGGTTAAGAGAGAATTTGAAAAAGAGAGAAAACCACCAGTTGAGCACTTGTGCATATTGTCTATTTCGTGATTTGCATTTGTTACTCTTGGACTCTTCGGTCCTAGACGGTTAGGCGTCGTCGGAGAGCACCCGAGAGATTGTGGTGTGCCTCGGAAAGTTTGTAACGGTCGATTCCGTCGCCTCGGAATCAACTAGTGGAAGGAGGTAAAGGAGT